ACTGTTCACCTTTGATGATATTTTGCAAACACTTACTTGTGCAATTTTTTTAAAGCATTAAAGTATTCTGACTAAAAGGCTGTTCTCCTGTATTTTTGCCAAAAAGTAAGTGAATTCTTCCTGCGAAGCAATGGGAAGTTTTCAACTACGAATTTCTTTGAAAATGCTACTGGACATCTATTCAAAATACAAAAGCACTGGCTTACTATTCATGAAAGGTTTCCTTATTTACTATCAATGAATTATTGTATATCAATAAATTAAAAGCAATAATTGCATTATTCAGTCACACCTCAAAAGAATTCAAATGACAAATTCCTCTAAATAGGAAAAACAGGATATAAGTTTATTAAAAATTATATTACAAATGGAACTATAGTAAATAAATGAATAAATAAATTCAAACATCTGTATACTTATTCCTAAACTAATGAATTTTGTAATAAATTAAAAACATTTTAATGTCTGAATGTTTTTACAAAAGAATATACAGAATTATAAAATTTTAAAAATTGTATAAATAAATCAATTAATTCAATATATAAAAATAAAGATTTTTCTAGGGGGAAGGGGAAAAATGATATTTTCATACAAATTTGTGAAAATACTTCTATAAGCCACATACATGTTCATTTGTAAATGTAAACATTTAACATGAAATAATGAACAACTTGTAATATCCATAGAGAAACATGCAAAACACTTTTTCAAATACATTACCACAAAACTTGCTCAGATACAACATAGATTTAGTTAACCATGTATGTCCTTTATGTAAAAATCCACATGTATTAGACATGAAAGAAAGATGCATTCCTACCGCTTATGTCCGATTTAAAACCAGATCCATCCCGAGGTGCCTTCGGGCACCAAAACGTCTCCTCGAGGTGATAGTATTCCTCGCTACGAGAACAAATTTCCTTTCCAACGTTTTCACTCTATAAATGTTGCTGTTTCTTCTTTATCCTTCAGTTACAAAAGGGGAAAAACTTTGCATTCGTATTCGCTCCAAGCTTTACTTAGATAATGGAGTCCAGCTCCCAACTTTGTTATCCCGTGTGGCACACAGCAACAAGCAGAGATGGTCTTCAATTAAAAGACCGACTTGCAAATTGACCGTGCAGTTCGACAAGCAAAATGAAAAAGCAGACCCTCCTGTTGGGGGCACCCCTAGGTTCCAATCAAAGGTACAATACCACAGAGCGTTGTAAATTACTGCAGCACTCAGTCACAGTTAGACAGACAAGAGGGAGAAAGAGAGAGTCAGAGAGAGAGAGAGAGAGAGTAACAAAGAAAGAGAGGGGGTATGGTATGCAAAGCATTATGGGTAATTAGGACTGCCTCCCATATATGGCTAGCTTGGCTATGATTGGTGGAAAGCTGGAGCTGGCAGCCATGACATCATATCCCTCTCAGCATCAGATGCAGGCTGAGTGATGGGAGGATAGTCTTGGTGTTCCAGACTCCTCTTATTATATCATGGACTGTATAGATTTTGGACAGCTAAATTGCCTTGACATTATAAATTATATACATTATAAATTATATACATTATAAATATCTTTACATATCTTACACATTCAATCTAGTCATTCTTATCAAAGTATGAATTGATTTTGGATAATTTAAATGTTTCTCTACCTTCTCTTTTAAGTTCATAGTGTACTTCTAGAGACAAAAAAATGCATGGTAATCACATACCTTGGCAATATTTTGATTCTTTATCACATTCCATACCATTCAGAACTAAAGTATATATTATGATATGAATTCATAGTTATTTCTAAATTGTTTTCTTTAGTTTGTGGAGATTCCTCAATGACCAAACCTTAATAATGTGAATCATGCATGGATAAAAAATAAATAACATGACAAAGATCATTAAAGGGACACACATTACAATTTATCTAAGTAGGGCTAATAGCAAAACAGAAGCTTATCAGGACTGTATTTAACAGCTGTATGTTTATACAGCTCTGTATAACAGCTAATGCGATTCTCCAGGCTGGGAATTTGATTCATAGCTATCAGACATCATTTATAATTGGACCACGCACATGTGGTTTTCCCTGATTATAACCGATGCCCCCATCCATATCCATATGAACGACCATCAGACAAATCGACTGATTAAGTTGGTCTTCTGAATGGCGACCAAAGGACAAATAATTAAGTATCATGTAAGTAAGCGTTAAATTAATAAAGGTTTTCAGAAGAGCAGTATGATAAAAGGATATTGACATACATTGAGTAGTCTATGTCTAGTAATTGACAACATCAGCATTAAGAGGGGGTACTGAACCTTTAGTAAAGCACCATATTTTGATTTATTTCCATTAGAAAAAAAAGATTTATATCTGTGAATTTGTGTTACTTCTCCAACTGAATGTCACTTTTCTAACTTAAAAGAAAGTAATCAAAAGTAACATGCAATACAGTCAGAGGATCAACTGAAGTGTTACATGTATATGTGTATTATTCAAATAGAATCCATGCATTTCAAAGATTGTATTATATCTAATAAAACTTTGATGATCATCTTTTTCCTCTTTACCTTATAAGGCAACAAAGCCATTATTCCAAGGAGCACATTTATTAGCTAAAAGCCCAATGGGAGCACATTTCACCATCTCTATATATTGCATGGATCTTGGCATACATACGTGTATTACACCCACAGTGAAGCTACCTAATCTGTACCGTATCGGTGCCAGGCAAAATAATTGATTAAGATATACCATGGTAATACTATATTTTTCAACCAGGGGAAGAACTTCAATCATCATCCCTTTCCCTGCATTAACATTACTTATAAATCATATCAATATCGATGCAAGGCAGTAAATGACAAGGTTACTAAAATTACATCCTACCACGCCCTTCTCATTTCATTCTATTAGTACTTCACACAACATACATCCACAGAGCCCAACAGGCCCCTCAGACATTTTTATTGCACAATCTGAATATTTCCATGTCTTGGAACCTTATCTTTGTCACGGACTGGAAGCCCCAACTGACAACAAATTGCTTTCAGGAGACAGCTCTTGCCAAAATACCAAACATTCCTTCCCCACATCCCGACTCTTAACTTTCTCTTCCTACTTCTTAAAGGCAAAGTACATTATCAGCAACTTGTCTCAAAGAAAGAAAAAGGGGAATGTTTGTGCGTCCCTGCTATGACAATTAATTCATGAAAAGAAAAATAATTAACGCTTGGGATATCGATATATTGAGTCTCTTAAAATGAAGGATAATGCTGAGTTTTAATGGGATTTTTTCCTCAGTGATACAAGTCATGCATCATGGATATCAAGCTGATTGATATCCAAATGGGACAAGTTTAGATCACAATCTATTTAATTGTAGTTGAAGAAAAATGTGTAGCCATAATATAGATATATACAGCATCTAAATGTTTCGAATATGGATGTTGTTGACGAGCATTATCCAGAGTTAGATAGAAAGCTATTAAGGTATCTAGCATGCTGTACCACAAGATTCAATAAATATGTAACATAATTTGTAGAAAACTCTTACATCCTACAGCTTAAAATTCATCTGCGGTTTGCTATATTGAGTTGTGATGCAACCAGGGCAAAGTCTAACCTCCCTGATGCAACATATCAGTCAGCCTAAAATACTTCAATGTTTGTGATGTTCTATTTTAGTTGCTGCATGAGACTACAGACATAAATGCTTTCACTTGCTCTAAAATAAGCATCAGGAAGAGAATATATAGAAGATGCATAACAATCCCTGTCATCTGTTGAAAGATAATATACCAATCACAGATGTTTATCCAGACTTTGGAAGAGGAAATCTGAAAGTTGTAAAGCTCTTGTGCCCAACCTTCATCTTTTCCTCATGCTCCTCTTCCATTTCATGTTTCTGTTTGTCTTTATTTTCTCACCTTCATGAAGTCTATTTGATCTTGAATCACCTTTCCTTCTATCCATTTAGTTTTTGTTGTTGTTTTTTTCCTTTTCATCTCATTCTTTTCTTTTGTTTTATTTCTTACATTTTTCCTGTATTCCTTCATGCATGTAATTTTATACTCCTTCTACTTTTTAAAACTTCTTCCCAGGTCTAAATAAAACATGTATTCACTCTAATGTTAACAAAAAGATATTGTGTTGAGAAATTTTTGAAGAAACAAAAGTTTGATTTTTTTACAACACAATAATCAACAATAGAATATATTGTTTTAGTTGCCCATATACCACTTTGTGGAGCAAGTTGTGAAGCACTTCATAACTGCAACAAAAAGAAACTACTTCAGATACTTCATGGATTGGATTACAGTGGATCCACAGTAAACGAATGGATGATTATAAAGAAAAGACACTCAAGTGTCTGGCCATGGAGTCACTTTGACACTATCTTGTAACTAAACCCAAAACCATCCATACATACGACACGTCCAATTTGTCATCACTCGATGAACATGTACCACTACTCTGAATCCACTGTATCGGATGTGCACAAAATGCTTCTGGAAGAGTTTCGTAAGCATCAGAAATGTGATATGTATACACGTTCACAAATTGCTTTGTCATGACTGGCAAGAACAGGAGACATCTTATAAGACAAAGCAATGCACTTAATCTCAGGTATGTCAAAGTACTGCCTGGAAAAAGCCATGACTAACTACATGGTAACGACAGCAACAACATAACTGAAGTAACATTCTTAAAGATGGAATACATTTCTGTATCTAGAAGTGTAGTGTGGTGTATTTTAAAGCTTATGTTGGTGTACGTTTTATCTAATCAGTATGCTGTAATAATTCAAATCAGTATAAATTTCTATACCCTGGATGATCACATGCTCTTGATATTGTCCAGTTTACTAATGGCTTCTACTTTGCCTTGTAACAATCATATATTATTATCAGATTGTGGAAATAAACTTAAATTGAATATTTCAGTAATATCAGACAAACTTGAAAGCAAACCCAAACATATCATTCTGCACACAAAAACACAAAAATAACTCACCTTTCAGAGTAATCATCTTCACTGGCAAACGCCAGACCTGAAAAGGGAAATGAAATGAAAGCTTATTAATAAAGACATTCCAAACAATTCTTTGAAACATGTTAAAAAGTTGTTTGTAGAACAATACACTTTCCTTGCTTACATCAGATCAACATGTTTCTGATTCTACACCCGAATATTTATCATAAGTTTTTGACAGGTACATGCCCATCTCTGATACTCTCACAAAAATTGAAAATAGTATACCCAACATAATACAAAAAGCATTGAGAACGTTTATCATGAAAATAGTTATGGTCATTACAAATAAGTAAGATTCTTACACTGCTGTGGTAATAATGAATTAGATCAATCAACAGTGCAACTGACAGATATTGTCTGTTTTGAGCCAGTAGGGCATTAACTCATATAGTTTAAACACTAATAACACTCTTCTTGCTCTGGACACACGGTATGCCACCAATCAACATCGTACATGTATCAACAGGGTTGAGGATGGCAGAAGATTAAGTTTGATTTGTTTTTCATGAATGAGTACATGAGCAATTACAAAAATGTGAATTTTTTTTCTTCTCCAGTTTGACAATGACACATTAGCTGATTCCGAGGCTCACAATATAAGCTCTCTATAACTTTACTGTGGAATAGTTGTCTGATGGATTTAAACTCAAGTATATTTAGGCAAGATCTTTAATAGTTTAGTGATGATAATATAAACTTCAATCCATCCTTATCCTTTGTTTGTTTAACATTTATGTCACTACTACAAGTCCTATCAAAATCTAGGTTAATCCTGCCATGTTGGTCTTTCATCACCAACTGGTCTTAATGTATTTTCCAACTTAATTCGATCACATTCATTCGCCATTAAAACATACATGTGATGTGTTTTTACTCCATACAACCTAATGGACAGGGCAAGCAGTTTATCCAGAGGACTAATTAATAAGAGTCCCTTCAGAAAAGTTGAAACAAAAGGTCAGACATAGCTTTGCTATGGCTTTGCAGCATAGCTAGCTGGCCGTGCATGCCAAAGCCTCCTCTAGTGGAAGAAGGTTGTAACTCCATACTAGAATCGGTCGTCACTGAAGTAAATATGTCATCGCATGTATGTTCAATATTGATGGAGATAAGTTTCTTAGCAAGACAAAACAATAGATTGTAATACCTCTTCTATGTGAAGTCAGGTTTTGAGTTCCAGGAAAGAATCTTTGTCATTCATATTACAGTCATTTCTCAAATGACAAAAATTGTGTGCCATCAATTACTGAATCATTTGTACTGGATGGTACTGAGACAAGTGTAAATTAAAAAATATGCCCCCAAACTTATCACTAAAATGTAATATATATCATGAAAATTCTTCTGGAAAACAAAAGGCTAATAGGAAATGTATGTCAACAAGTTCTATAATATTGGTCATAATTAATCAGTGTTTTAGACTGTATGTATACTACATCTAATTTATCAATGCTACACCCTTTTGGTTCACTTCAAATCACATTAGATCCCTGAAGGCTTTGGATATATTTGTGATCACTTCTTACATTCATCCATTCAACTTTCTCAACTGCACACCATATGTAGTTATGGCCATTTTGCACCACAGCTGCCACAGTTTGAGAAGAATACCATGCCCAGGGCTCTCACAGTATGCTGACATTTGAATGTCATACCAAAACGAATGTGGCTGGTGCTCTCTTTTCTGGGGTATCATACCCCAGGTTCACTTTACACCTTTTAGCCGAGATGGTATCACCAGACAAAACAACCATTAACACCTATGTGATGAAACAGATCACCTGCCCAAGAAGAGAGACATGCAACGCCACTAGTTGAAAGACAGGTAAACTTTATGCTCGCAATTTTTCATTTACCAGATTTACCAGATCTCTGCCTCTCACAAACCCAGACTGAAGTATCAATAGAATCCACTTTTAAGACACTTTTGGATCATTTGTCAGAACATGTGACACCACTAGTTGAAAGCCATGTAAACTCTATGTCAGCAACATTTTTTAAAATAAGTTTACCGGCTGTCTGCCTGTCACAAAATAAGAATTTAGTGTCTCTGAAGTCCGTTTTTAATATAATTTTTGATCATTTGTCCAGAAGAGAAACATGTAATACAACCATAAGAGAGTCAGGTAAACTTTGTGCTATCAACTTTGCATAAGTTTACCAGCTCTTTGTCTCTCGCAAACTCAGACTAAAGTATCAATTGAGTCCAATTTTAAGACACTTTCTGATCATTTTTTAAAGATATGTAACACAACCAGCGAGCCAGGTAAACTTTACGCAATCAATTTTTCTCAAGTTTATCAACTCCCTGGCTCTAACAAAAAGTTTAAAAGACAAAATAGCCTCCTGAGTAGGCAATTTCTCTCATCAATTATATACATTCACCCAAACCTGCTTTTTCTGTAATATTTAGAAGAGTCTTTCAATTTGTATTTTCCATCTGTTTAGCAAACTTACTGATGCAGAACAGTAACTTTGGAAAGGGTTTATTCCCCCCCCCCCCAAAAAAAAAAAAATGTAATAGGATTATTTTGCCCTGCGGGTATTTCCGTCATGTGTGACAGTATCAGGCGCAAAGCACATTATCAACTCAACTCTCTGTGGGTAGGCTGTGGTGTTGCTGTCAGAATTCATCAGTCCCGGCAGATATCATTTTGATTGATGTTGAAGAGCATACTTTAGAATGCATGCAGTACAAGGAGAGTGTAAACATGAGAAAAGGTAAACTAAAAGTTTTTCTTCGATGTGAATTCTTAGTTGCAGTTTCCTAGTTCTATGACATCTCTAATAACACTATTTCATATCTTTCCTTACCCCATGTACACCCCCTCCCCTCTCTCTCCCTCTCTCTCTCTCTCTCTCTCTCTCTTTATATCCCCCTCTCTGTCTGTCTCTCTCTCTCTCACACACACAAACACACACATCCACTTTCCAGCTATCTTCTCACACCAGCTTTCTACTTCTCATGCACTCTTTTATATTTCATATCTCCCCAGACCCATGCATATCTTTCTCTGCAGGTATTTTCTTATGTTATCTCCTACATGTACCCTTTCTAAAAATATATACTTATTTGCATTTTATAACATACTTTTGTTGAAGAAAAAAACACTTATCAGAATTATTTATAAATTTGGATAACTATTTTCATTTGGAATTTTGCTCAAAATGATATCAAACAGAACATGTGAGACACATTTTATTAGAAGTTTATATCTATTACTGAAAATATATACAACTAGGAAATAATATAAGGTATGCCTCAGCCTACATCAAGTATCTCTCTCTTTCTCTCTCTCCCCTCATTCTTCTTCCTCTTCAATTCCTTCTCCGCATCTCCCCCACCAGCTAACGACACTACACTGCCAAGGTACTGGTATGCCAAAAATTTGAGTCAATTACCGAAGCCCAACGGCTAGGCCCCTCCGGACACATGTAAAGGTAGGAGGCATGTTGGCACAATGAGTATGGACCTATACTGGGAACCTATGTAATCTTATATTTTGAGCCGAGGTAAAGGAACGTGATGAGCGTGTGATATAAATGTAGGATTATGTCATAGCAAATGACTTACAGACCCTTGCAACTACAATGGAATGAGAGATATATCATCACTACCACAATATATGACAAAGATACGGTCATCATCATATGTTGTGAGCGAGAACTCTATGGAAAAATATTTGGCTTAACTACCTCCTGGCTCACAGCACACGCCTCTAAACACAGAAATTCTTTAACTTCATTTACTCAATCTCTCCTCTCCCAAGCCTAACAAAAATTCTGCATCCCTTCCTCTTACTGCATCATACAAGCAATTTAGTAATTTCCCTTCAAGGCATCGGATGCATGTCCCTACGTGTTATCAGTGTCTGTGATATGGTGTAATATTGAAGCCCTAACAAAACTGCGCTTCAAAATAACCATGAAGTGCCTCAAAAATTAAAAATCTTTGAGTGACCGGTTTTACCATATTTAGTTGCCCCAATAGGCTGAGGTGTTATGAAAACCGTTAGGCAAACGCAAAATGAAATTTCGATTTTCAATCATAAATATCTTGATAATCAGACAGGCTTGTAAAATTCATGGGATTCCTGAATAACCTAAAGGTTTATAATTATGATTGCAGCATGAGCGAGATCAAGGATTTTGTTTAAGGATCTGAGACAAAGTTACCGGATCCCTTTATATACATCTTTGCTTTATAAATCCCTTTCAATACGGAGAAATTTAATCACCCAATCCTCATACCAAGCCATCCTATTTCAGTACAGTATGTAAATGAGAATGGGATAGACTACTACTTTCATATCTACATAAGATATGGTTTTGTGACCTGATAGGATAGTCTGATTATTAGGCTTCATTTCAGTTGATACAGCTTTACCTTATCTATAAAACAATACATGCACTGAATCATAGACTACTCTCCACATACGTGATATTTTCAATGTGCAATCTGCTACTTCAATCCATCTCCACACTCATTTACATCTCGTTGTTTACTGCTGCACTCTCTTCTCTTTTTTTCTCTCTCTCTATGTCTCTCTCTCTGTCTCCCTTTATTTCTCTCTTTCCCAAACATTTCCATTTTATTTATCACTTTGCTATTACCCTATACCCTATACCCATAATTTCTTTTCTTTAAGGGATCTCTTTCTCTCCTTAATCAAAGACCTTCATCACTTTTATATTTTTCCTCTTTTTCCAATGCTTCTTCTGTTGCACAGAAAATAGTATACCATTATTCTACCTTTTCCTATTGTTGAACCAACACGTAAAGAAGTGTTAGTTACACACATGCACTTAGCAAGCACAACCTTAAAGCATGCAAAAAAAAGGTAAAGAGTCCAACAAATTCTTTATCCGGGTACAAAATAAATCTCCAAAAAGATTCATGGTGTGTTAACATACTTCATTGAGTTTATATATTGAGGGAAATTTGGAGGATACCTCTACCACAATTGCCAAACCAGTTGCAGCATCGCTACAGCATGGACATGCAAGTGCTATACA